CTCTCTCTCTCTCTCTCTCTCTCTCTCTCTCTCTCTCTCTCTCTCTCTCTCTCTCTCCCCGATTCTCCAAAAAAAATCTCAATTTCAGCACCTCGATTCTCCAAAACAATTGTCGATTTAAACTATTAATTTGTAGAAGAATCGATGGCGCATTACAAAGTTCTCCTTTATCTTGAATGTTGGAGTCGATTGGAGGAGTAATTTTCGATATTCCAAAGCTAGGGTTCTATTTGCAGCGACATTCTTCTCGAATTTTCGATGGCGCATAAGGTACTTTTCGAACCTTTTCGACGATTAAAGGTTATTACCTGCAAATCCAATAGTTGCATTTGTAAAATTAGGGTTCTTATGCCATGTGATTTCGAAAATAGGGTTTTTTTGGTGAAGTGCATGCTTGTGATTTGAAAATTAGAGAAACTCGATTGCTTCATTTGAAAATTAGAAAAATTCGATATCTTCTGATTTTGGTAAACTTTCGTGCTCCTGATTTGGAAATTAGGGTTTTTTCATTTAGAAATTAGGGTTTTTTATTTTGAAATTAGGGTTTCTGATATGCGAATTAGGGCTCTCTGATTTGGGAATGAGGGTTTCTGATTTTGAAATTAGGGTTTCTGATTTGGGAATTAGGGCTTTCTGATTAGGGAATTAGGGCTTTCTGATTTTGGAATTAGGGCTTTATGATTTGGGAATTAGGGTTTTATGATTTTGAAATTATGGCTGTCTGATTGTGAATTTAGTAGGGCTTTCTGATTTGGGAATTAGGGTGATTTATATACTATTTGTAGGTCGAATTGTGCTCCTTGTGTGAAATTGTTTAATGAAGTAAAGTGTTGGTCTTGTTTGTTGGTTGTATTGTTTCATTTATACTCTGTATCAAGTATTGAAGCTGTTTGCATCGTTTTGTGATTTAAAAATTAGGGTTGTTTATTTTATCTTATCTTATTTGAATTTGTGGTTATTGTTAAATGGTTTAAGCTGAAAATTATTGATGCTGTTTGTAAGAAGAATTTGGGTCCTTCTGTGATATTGATGCATAGGAAGTTTGATGCATAAAGTATTCTTTTTATGTTGTGGTCACTGATTTCATATATTAATCATATCATACTTGTGAATTGCAGAATATGGCTATTGTATTTGATGTTAGAGTTGGTGGAGTGATAAAATGGGAGCCCTTTGTTCACTACTTTGGTGGTCAAAGAGTTGGAGTAGACTACTATGACATGGACAGATTGTCTATGTATGAGATAATAGATGTGTACAATAAGGCAGGTCCATTGTGGATCATGGAGTAGGAATTGTTTCCCTACTTGGGCTGGAGAAGACAAGTATGAGGTGGTTCATGGAGTAAATAGCCATATAGTCCAACTGGGAGCAAGAAGGTGCATATGTGGTATGTTTCAAGTGGTTGGCTACCCTTGTTGCCATGCACTGGCATGCATCTCCTATCATAGGTTCAGTATATCTGATTATATGTCTGATTTTTGTAAGAAGGACATATATATCAGGATGTATAGCCATATGATCTTCCCAGTTCCAGGGATGAATGAATATGAGGAGTCTGGAATGGATCCAATTCAACCGCCTGATGCTGTGAAAAAAAGGGGAAGGCCAACAAAGAAAAGAAGAGCTGACGCTAATAACATGAGACCTATGGCAACAAATAGTAGCAGAAAAGGGCTTATCAAGAGATGCACTTTATGTGGTGAAAATAATCATAATAGGAGAAGGTGCCCCAAAAGAAGAGGTGGAGGTGAACAGGTCAGTCAATTATTTAAATATTTCAATTTCCAATTTTTTGTTATTTCAACAATCACAATTCTGTTTTTTCAAACTATGACTTGATTTTGTTTTGTTTTGTTTGCTTTTTTTTTTTTTTTTTTTTTTTT